ATGTGGGGTGAAACTATTTTGTCAAGCAATTACCTTTTAAATAGGGTACCCCGGAAAAAATAAGATAAAACTCCTTATGAGTTATAGAAAGGTAGGAGACCATCCTACAAATACTTGAAAGTGTGGGGGTGTCTTGCAAAAGTGGCTACTCCAACACCAAAGAGAATAAAGATAGGTCCTAGAACTGTGGACTGTATCTTTATAGGCTATGCACATAATAGTGCTGCTTATCGATTTCTTGTGTATAATTCAGAAATTTCGGATATACACAAAAATACGATAATGGAATCAAGGAATGCTTCATTCTTTGAAGATGTGTTTCCTTGTAAATCGAATGGTGCATCAAGTTCATCAAAACGAACACATGAAGTTATGAATCAAGAAAAACATGATCATAACTTGATTCAACAAGATGAACCGAGACATAGCAAAAGGGCTAGAGTGAAAAAATCATTTCGAGATGATTTTACAACTTTTCTATTAGAAAAGGAACCACAAACCTATACAGAAGCTGTAAGTTCTTCTGAAAGATTTTTGTGGAAAGAAGCAATAAAAAGTGAGGTTGATTCTATTTTACAGAATCACACATGGGAGTTAGTGGATCTTCCTCCTGGTTGTAAACCTTTAGGATCCAAATGGATCTTTAAAAGGAAAATGAAACCTGATGGCTCTATCGATAAGTATGAAGCCAGACTTGTAATCAAAGGATACAAGTAACAAGAAGGTTTGGATTATTTTGATACTTATTCTCCTGTTACGAGAATAAATTCTATCAGAATGATTCTTGCTACCGCTGCATTGAGAAATCTAGAGATACATCAAATGGATGTAAAGACGGCTTTCTTAAATGGTGATTTAGATGAAGAAATTTACATGGAGCAACCTGAGGGTTTCCTAACTCCGGGAAAAGGAAATAAAGTCTATAAATTAGTAAAATCATTGTATTGACTAAAACAAGCGCCAAAGAAATGACATGAAAAGTTCGACAATGCAATGATAACTAATGGATACAAAATAAATGAGTGTGACAAATGTGTCTACACTAAAGAAACAGAACATGGCTATGTCATCTTATGTCTTTATGTAGATGACATACTTATTGTTGGTAGTAATGACAAAATGGTCAAGTCTACCAAAGACATGTTGAATTCAAAATTTAACATGAAAGATATGGGGCATGCTGATGTAATTTTAGGAGTTAAAATTACAAGAATATCAGACAGGTTGGTCTTGAGCCAAACTCATTATGTGGACAAGATTCTGGAAAAATTCAATAAGGATGATTCTGGAATTGCAAGAACTCCATTAGACAATAGTTTCCATCTATCTAAGAATAGAGGAGAGAGTATTTCTCAAGTAGAATACTCAAGAATCATTGGCAGTCTAATGTATTTAATGAGTTGTACTAGACCTGACATTGCATATGCAATGAGCAAATTGAGCAGATTTACAAGCAATTCGAGTGCTGATCATTGGAAAACAATTTTAAGTGTACTTAAATACCTACGGTACACTCGAAACTATGGACTGCATTACACTAGATATCCTGCTGTTCTAGAAGGGTACGCGGATGCAAATTGGATATCTGATATAAAAGATTCAAAATCCACAAGTGGATATGTGTTCACACTTGCCAGTGGGGCAATATCCTGGAAGTCTTCTAAACAAACTATTGTAGCTAGATCTACAATGGAATCTGAGTTCATTGCCTTGGACAAATGTGGAGAAGAAACTGAATGGCTACACCATTTCCTTGAGGACATTCCAACATGGGAAAAACTTGTGCCACCAATATGTATTCATTGTGATAGTCAATCAGCAATTGGAAGAGCACAGAGTCACATATATAATGGTAAGTCTAGACATATACGTCGTAGGCACAATACCATTAAACAACTACTCTCAACAGGAGTTATCTCTATTGATTATGTGAAATCAAAGGATAACATAGCGGATCCGCTAACCAAAGGATTGAATAGAGAGTTGGTTGCAAAAATGGCAACGGGAATGAGACTAAAGCCCATGGAAGGCTAAGTGTTATAAAGGAAACCCAACCTCGCTGACTGGAGATCCCAATATCTAGGTTCAAAGGGACAACCTAATTATAAAGACTTAGCATAGTCATTGTGGAGGGATATCCCTAAACCCATTCCATAATGAAACAATGACGCAAAAGGAGAATTAAGGATAGCACAATGGTGTGCTTTAATGATTCTTAAGTGAAGTAATTAATTACTGGAGACTTAAGAAAATAACCTATGTGAGAGTGAAGTGGGGCCGCTTCAAAAGAGAATTGTTTAGGGCTCAATTCTTGAAAAACTCTTGCTGAACCAGGTAGATGTTCATGGCCAAAACGATCATAACTATGAGAACTGAACTAATGGAGCATGATTCCTGTGTGAAATATATGGTTCATTTACATTGGAAAGCAGGACAGTTCAAAGACATCATGTCTACTGGATTGCTAGTAAAGTAAGTGTATTTCACAAGAGAAGGTTCAAAGGGTAACATCAACCTATCTTATGCAGGTTTCAGTTGTGGAACACTACTGTAGAGTCAAATTCAAAACATTTTTTCATTCATGCGGGGGATTGTTGGAAAAATGGAAAAATCCATTGTAGAGTGAATGAGAAAATCGTTCTCATAATGGCACTCTTGATGGAATCCAAGGATAATTATCTATCATTCATGTACCTGAAGATTCATGTACTTAGAAATTAAGTATTTATGTACTTAATTATTGATACATGAATTTGGAGTTTTCTTCTCGAGAAAGGATTCATGTACTTAGGAATTAAGTATTCATGTACTTAATTATTGATACATGAATTTGGAGCTTTCTTATCAAGAATACATGTATGTACATGAAAAGATAATTAAGTGGAATTTAACATTTGTTTCCAATTTCTACAATCACCCTTGACCAGCACCTATAAATAGATAACTCTCTTTTTGTTTCAAAAACAATCGCTCTCTCTATTTTTCCTTCTTGCATCTTCATCTTTTATAGTGTTCCATATTGCTCTAGTTCGAGTTCGCTGTGGTAAAGAAGTTTGGTGCTAACATTTTCACCTTTAATCTGTTGTATCTTGGGAGACAGACGCCTACTGAACCTCAAGCACTCAACCTGTAGGGGGCGAATCTGTTTTAAGGAAATTGTGCTCACAAGTCTCGGATTGTTATTTTCAATCATTTCTTTCTTTCCAGTTTGTATTTATTCTTTCCTATATTGTACTAGCTCTATCAGTAACAAAATTTAATATAACCCTCTCTGCAAAAACTGGTGATTGTTGGCTTAAGGATCATATTAATCTATAGCAGCACCAAAGAAGATCTCACAAATTGGGATGATACAAGTATAAACTTTGTTAAACATCAAACGAGAAAAGAACATGGAGAAAATTTTAGAAACAAATTATAATGTATAATTTTGGATCGATTAATGCATGACACTTTTGCCTCTGCAATCACAAAGTAATATAACCACATCAAGTTCAAACCAAAGAATTTGGAAGCATCAGAAATTGGTTGAAGAAACATGAATTACTGTGTCAATGAACTCATTCAACATATACAGATCAAGTGTGATGAGAGGAAATAGACTCTCTTTCTGAGGAAATCTACTCTGCTTCTCAGGAACTGGACTCGTCTTCTGAGGTAATTGAATGTTCTCCTGAGGAACTGGATTCATCTTCTGAGGAACTTGACACGTCTTTTGAGTTAAACCATGCAGGCCCATCTAGAATAACGATCTTTAGATCCTCATTTCCCATATCCTATTGTTCTTGTTGCATTTGTTCTATGGAACTTTCAACAGACTCATCACATCCTTTTACCTCAATCATTTCAAGAGTCGGACATTCCCCTAAACAAGAAGGCACCTCTTTCAGCTTCTCACAGAGATGCAACACCAATTTCTCAAGACGGAAAAAATTATCAGAAGAGGTAGTCCAATTGTGATTTGTGAATGCTCAACCATGAAAACTTTAAGAATCGGAGCTTAGGAAACTCCCTTCTTTCATTTCCCAACTTTTTTCTTTAAAGGAGTGCCTGCGTAATTTAAGCACTTCAAGATTGGGAAGCTTTCCGACTTTTGAGATTTTACTCCATGGCTGAAGATTATCTGAGAGAGTCAACTTCTTCAATTGCAATGGAAATGTAAATCCATATCCATGAAAATTACTCAAATTAAGTGATTCTTGTTTATTCAAACAGTCAAACACGAGAATACCATTGCAATCTCTAGTAGATTCTCTTGATACAGCGGCCCATACATTTTAGTATACGGATGCTTGGTAACTTTGTCAGTATCCCTTGCAAGCTTTGAGAGGAGGGGTCAATTGCAAGGCATAGAGTTTCTAAATGATCTAAATCTGGGGACACTTCAAGATTTTCAATCGGAAAAATAAAGCCATGACCGAATCTGGCAGATAGATGCCTTGATGTCTTTATGTTCCAAACAGTATTCGACAACACAATATCACCATCCCGTGGCTTTACCAGAAGCGTTTCTAACCTTGAGAGGTTGGCTACTGCAGATGGGATGGATCTTATTGCAAGCTGAAGTGCCAAGTATCTCAAGTGAACAAGCAATACTACTTCCATAGGAAAAGATTCGCTAAACACCAAGGCCCCCAAACCAACACTCTAAGAAGTTTAGGTAACAAAAGCCCCAACTCTTACGAAGAAATAAGTTTCAAACAATAGCAAACAGGGTAAATCGGGAAAAAGTAGCCACGACTCCTCAAGCTTCCATAACCTGGTATCATGAACACACAGTCGGTGGGGGTTGCTCTGTCCAGTGAGACTAAAAGGGTCTTTCCAACTATGAATGATATTTAGAAACCTTTCTTCGTTGGCTTTTTCTACACAAAACTCGTGCACCAAATCATGAACTGGGCAGGCTTCAAATAATCTAGTAAATGACTATAACTCAACTCGAGTGTCTTCATGCAGTATTCATCGTCAAGGACAATACTGGAACTTAGACATTTTGCAACTTATTTCCAGCAATCTTGTGCAGTAGTAGAAAGAATTCCAGCAACAATGACAATTGCTAGGGGTAAGCCCCTACAAATTTTTGCTATTTGAGATCCAACTCCACTCAGTGCTGGTGGACAACCTTCCTTACCAAATAGCTTATTCTGTAGCAACTTCCAACTCTCCTCGTCAGTAAGTTGGTGGAGATGGAAAGGCCTGCTATTGGGCATGAATTGCAAAGACAAATTCTGATATCTGCTAATGAAGAGAATCCTGCTTCCATTGGCATCATCTGGCAACGATCTTTCCAACAAGTTCCAGGCCTTAACATCCCACAAGTCGTCCAAAACTAGGAGATACTTATTTCTTAGCAAAACTTTTTCTAGCTTTTCAATCAAATCATCTTCATCCATCCCAAGATATTGGTTGGGACTCCTAGAATCGATACTACACAAGATCTGAACTAACAAGTTGTTCTTGCTATATGTTTGAGAAACACAACAACAGGCACAAACATAGAAGTGTGAGATTACTGAAGGAGAACTATAAATTTTATTGGCTAATGTTGTCTTACCAAGCCCAGGCATACCCACGATGGGAACAACATCCAACTGCTTTGATCCTCTCGTAAGTCTATGAGTGATAGTTTTCACCTCATCAGTGAGTCCCACTAGATCTTCATTGTATATGGCAGGAGTGACTTGTGATGGCATGTGAATCAAAGTCTTGGTAGCTCTCTATATTTTCCCATCGTATGTTATGCTATCATTGATCTCTTGGGCCTCGAAATTCATAAGATTGATATCTTTAGCAACAACATCCAAATAGTATTCATGTTTAATGCCAGCAAGTGTCAAGTCAATGATTGACTCTGCTTTACATGCAACCTCCATAACACGATCCCAGAAAGCTCGGAGTTTTTCATTCTGATTGTGCTGCTCCTTGATTTTCTCCAGGAAAGATCTTAAGCAATTGAGATCAATTTGGACTTTTTGGATTGTATCCAATGGGAATGTATCCAATGGGAAAACAATTGAATCATCCACCTTATTACCTTACTAGTTCCTTTAGAGATTCTGGGAAAAAATCCATAGAGCCCAACTCATTGGTCCTTGGAAAACCAAATAAAGATGGTGATGTTAGTGGATAAATGTATGCAACTTCTGCCTTGATATGCTTGAGCACTTTAAGCAAATGAAAAAGCACTAAATTTGTTTCATGGATAAACCTTCTTTCATTTCATTCACAGAAAGGGAGAAGATCACAATTCCTGCATCACATACTACAACTCCAATGAGATCCATCATTTCATCACCTAGCTCTTCCTTTTCCTTGTTCAGGAGGATATTCAGGAACATTACTCCCTGATGGAGTTTATGCATTTGATCCTTCACCGGATATCATATACTTGTATATGAATTTAGTAGATCCACAAGATATTTTGTGATAGAAGCAATAAAGTCAAGCACAGCATACTTATTCCCCTTCGCAGCTAAACCATTTGATGATCTTTGTAGCTTTGAGACTGTTAGGGCATGGATATAAATTTCTCGGACTTGGGGGATCGAGAGGATTAATCTTATTGTGTATCTGCTGAGAAATTTTGAATTCCATATCATTCAACACTTGCTCCTCATCTCTGTCAAACCAACATACAGAAATCAAGCTTGCAGCCACAATTGTTGTGTGAGTCAGGAGATCAATCAATTGTATACCCTCAACACCTCGCATTGTTGCAAAGCCAATGAGATCTTTTAAGAGCATTAGTTTTTTTCTAAGGGTTTCTACTAGCTTCTTCCGTTTTGGTAGAGAAGATACTTCAGAACCACACAAATGGACGAAGTAAGATCCATAACTAGTTGTTGATCTCCCGGTGAGTAGTAGTCTAACAACATTCTGGTGCATGATCTCTTGATATCTGTCTCAAGAAACAACATGATATTTTTCTGGGATCTGGTGACCACACTTTCGATGATGTCACTGTCTGACTTACAAGAATGCTCATATCTAAGAGAAGCAGGGTGAAGATCATTGATTATTATGGTAACCAAATCTTGAATTCTAAAGCAAATAATGCTAGGTCTCAAACTTTCACACATAGTATTTCAGTTGCTTTCCTGATCGTGCTCCAGAAGCGCTTCATGGTTCCTCCTCCTCCTCTTACACTGTCTGATACACAGAAAAATGGTTTTCAATAATTTTTCCTTCGCCTTTAGCAACTCAATGTCTCAATTCCAGGAGAAATAGGGGTTCTCAAACTTGGCTAGATAATCTAAAGCAAGATCAAAGCATCTAATGCTACTGCTGGAGGAGATGTGATACAAGTGCAGATAATTGACAGGTGTCGAGCCTGTGCAATAATAATAATAAAAACCTAACTACCACTAAAATCAGTCAATAATTAATCCTAGGTACTGAAACAGGGACTCTAGGTGTGCAGTGGGTTACTTGATTTATCTTGTTCCCGAAGAGTTTGCTTAATCCGATATACCAGAATTAATTAGTTGATAAAAATTACTAAAATAGTAGACAGTGGCAAGTAGGGTCGTCTCCTCAGGGACTGGGGATATTTGTTTCTTTCAAATTCTAATTGGTAAAGAGAGATTTTATCGGAATGAAACTAAAAATAATTAAACTATTAAACTAAAAATGAATAATTAACTAGCACGAATGTAACAGGAATTAAATCAAGAATAGATAAATTCTAGCCAAAGATACAACTACTCAGACACAGTCCACTTACTTGATCATTGGTGCAAGAGAAATTCACTTAACTTATTAATAGACTAGTTATAGGCGCCGGCAAACTCTAACGACCAATTTTCCTTAATTTATTGATAATCAAGGTACGACCATTGATTACCCCTAACCAGAAAATACTCCTAGGTACGACCATAGGAATTAATTTTTTAATTGCACTAAAATCTAGAAAAATCTAACTCCAATCAATAACACGCTACGAGGGTTATTTAAATTAGATCGCACGTTCCCCTAGTGTGTAAACCCGCCAATTGCCACTAATATTAATCAATCAAACAATTACGGATTTAATTGACTAATTTGGCAAGAAATTAATAAGTCACATTGAACATCGGGCCCTTGACATCCAATTAACAAAATAATCCCATGAAAATTCAAATAGGCAACGCGCAAATATTAACAAATTAAGAAATGTGTGAAAACTAATTAGATCTCACAGATATTTGGGACTGCACCGTTGAGTTGATCCTTGACTAGATGAAAGGGTTAGCCACGCCACACAAATAAATCTCCATGCAAATTAATTGATTGCAAAGGCATCACGTTTTTCACTAGAAAGCGAGAAATAAAAGATGTTTTCTCCGTTGAAAAATATTGTCGAACAGTAGGCGTGCGCTTGACAAAGAAAAAGAAAGAAAAAGACTAAAACTATTCTAAAAACTAAGCCCCCAAGCCTCTGTATGATTGTCCCTTTTTAAAGCCAAAAGAAAGATGACTAATGCTATCCCTGTGGTCCCCGCCGAATTGGGAGTCAAAGAGCCAAAGAATTGGAGCTCTGCTGAAATTCCTCCTTGTTTCCTATTGATAGTAGGACTCTTTATACCAGCCACTCCTCATCAGCAAGAGCAAACGGAAATCCGTTTCTTCCCTCTTTTGGGCCACGTTGATAGAGCTTTACAGAAGACTCCCACGTGTGAAATAATTTGATTCAGAAAGTCCTTTCTTTTTTGTAATTTTCTACTCCATTCCCTGAAATTAAATCCAGATACCAAATATAAGTAGATATTAACAATTAAGACAATATTTGGCAGGGGCAAGGGGAAAATTAATAATAAAATAACCGACAATTAACACCCCATCAATTCCCCCCACACCTGAACCATGCTTGCCTTCAAGCATGAGAACAGCAATTGAACACCAAAATTTGACACTGGCCATTGCTCCAACTACCATATTGCCAAGATACCCAGAAAAACATATATCAAACATCACAGGTTAAGATCAAAGAAAAATCACCCGGTTAGCCTCTTAATCACCAACTCCTCCAATTTAAAGTAAACTAATCCAAGAAAAAGGAATGGTTGCTCACATTTATCAGCAAACGGTCCAACTATTAACCAAAATCTCGACATTAAGATCACAAATCGGCGAGCTGACTTTTTCATATACTAACACACTCTTTACTTTACTCCTTTTTTTTTCTTTCTTTTTTCTTTTTCATTTTCTGCTTTTTTTTTATTAAGCAAAGACTTAGTCTATAACCCTTAGAGTCTTTTGAAGCGAACTCCAACATTTGTTAGATTGAGGAGTCCGGTTACTCAGCTCCAATCGCTACGGGACCACGCACTCATAGTAACTACTATCTTTTGACGCGAGAATCGACATTTTAAGTGAAAATCCCCGGTTACTCAGTAGTAACAACTAGTGGAGTACAGTCAACTCTTATTTACAATCATATAGCACAATAACTAAAAATAACACAAAAATAACGGCAGCCAGCCTCAAATTTCCAAACATAGAGAACTAAAGTTAATAGTTGGACCAATTCACATGAAAAATGCCAATAATCATTCCCTATGCCTAGAAAAGTTAATCAAAAATTGGAAAAGTCAAGCAATTACCGATATTCACCAAGGAGATATTCCTGGACTCAACCACATTAACTTGACACCCTTTTATTAATAAAACTTGGCAATAGCAGAATTAGAAACAACAATCCAGCATCAAAACTTGGTATTCATATAAGATGGACAAACTAAAAATAAAGGGAAAACCTCTAGAACTAAAAACCGGAAAAACTAGCACCATAACTGATCCCCCCCACACCTAAATCACACATTGCCCTCAATGTGATAATTTAACAGCAAAAGTGAGCAAAAGAGCAACGGTACTTCCCCGAAATCACAGGGACCGTGGCAAGGTCACAGCGGCGGTTGAGGTGGAAATTGAGGTGCGAGACCCGCATGATACATAAACACTCCAACAATGATGTGGGTCGAGGGATCCTAGACCTAGAAGAAGATTTGGGTCTCACCATGGTCACTAACAGATAAATCAATCAACAAGAGATAAAAGCTCCAACAGGTAGAGGGATCAACAATTACAAATCAATAACAACTACAGCCACCAGTAAGGGCAATAAGCAAGTCAATATCCACCAATGCGTCTCACTTAACAATCCGACCAACAACAGAAACTGGTGTTCCAGCAAATGTATTAAGCTAGTAAAGCAGAAGTCACAACTAAGGGTAAGGCAACAATCAAGTAAGTAAACAATATTATCCCGCAATCGGACAATTAAATGCAAAATGCGTCCACCCAAGTACTCGACAGATGTCCCACCAGTCAATTTCTCCCAACAATAGCAAATTGTTCCCAACTAGTCAATGAAAATCAACCAATGGCAATAACCAAACAAGGGACATAGGTGCCGCGAGAGTCAATAGACAAACGCAGCAGTTATCCTACCAACGGCACAACAAAAATTCCAAGCAAAGTAGCACTTCGTCACAGCCCAAAATATTCCAACAGATCACGTCAATGGACTCAATACAGAAATCAGCAAAATAGGACTCAAGTGATACCAAAAATGACCCCAACGAAGTAGTGAATTCAGCCAATTTGAATAAGTAAAATACGGTCAGAGGTGCCTCCCAAATAGCAACAGAGAATGACCAAACTTGACCACCCAAAATCTCAGCAAATGTCCCTAATTGGACAATCAACTATACAA